TTCGAAGATATAGGATTAGAGTGTCCACCATGTAGAAGTCTTAGGATCAGACTTGCAATTTTATCTTTGAAGAAATAACAGAAAGGCCCAAAAACCCGACATGGGTTGTGTGTCGACACTCTTGCTTAGTGTCGATATAATTATTATAGAGGAAGTTGAACAGATTAATATATAATTAAAAACTCTAAGCACGAGTTATGAAAAATTAAACTCACCTTAATATATACATAACGGAAAATAATAATGAAAAGAATTAAAAGAAGAGAAAAATTATGCCATTTACATGTACAATAAAACCTTAATTATTTAATAAAAATCATAAATAAATATATGATAAAACCTTATAATTGGTTCATATATTCATAAAAATATATGACAATAGTTTTGCTTCTTTATATTTAATTAATTCAAAAATAAATAATTAAATAAAAACATAGAATATAAAAATCTCATTTAAAATTGTCATATTGACAGTTACAAATAATAGTATTAAAAATTTTATTCAAAATTATTATATTAGTAGTTACAAATCATAATAATATATGTCATGCCCCGAAACTAGGAACGAAATAGACGCTGTGCACTCGTGAACGGGTCCCACAAATGCACAAGGCTCGAAACTTACTGTATTCATAATTACCAATTTACATAACTTAAATCAAAAACTCAGTTAATATTTAGCTTTTCATTTCCAAAAATTTACTAGTCTAAATGTACAAAAGTTTATAAAAAAGTCATGGCTATAACCAAGGAAAATTCAGTATACGAAAAAAATGATTTATCATTTCATATCTATGACAAGCACGTGTGGCTAACAGCCTAAGTCCAAAAAGGATCTAAGTCCAAAATACTGACTAGCCGTCTAGCTCATCACTCCCTCTGGTTAACCATGCATCGCATCTCACTTTTTGAAATGGTAGACAAGGAAAACTATGAGATAAGATATCTCAGTAAGTAAAAATATAGGTAACCCGTGAGTAAAATTTTAGCATGCATGATAAACAATTTAACATAATAAAACGTTCAATAATAAACCGTTAATGCAGAATAAGATTCAGTAGTAGTCTCATCTATAAGTCAATAACAAAACGTTCAATGATAAACCACTAATGCAGAATAAGATTCAGTAGTAG